TTGTGTGTTATGTGTTGTATTGTGTGTATTGTGTGTTCTGTGGTACAGAAGTATTGCTTTTGGTGGTGAGTTTGTGTGTCTGTATAATTTTTGGGTTGCGTGGTGGGTGGGATTTGATTTTGACATATGATTAATAGGGAGGTCAAACCTGAAGGTGACCCAGCATGTGCCGGGTGGCAGTAAGTGACCCGCTTCGCAACTGCAATATAATAGTTACACTTCATAGATATATACTGCCTCCACATATATGTGAGTGTGATTTGGTCTTGTGGCTCAATATTTAGACATCGGTACTGCTTTGCGGGTTGTTATGCCGTAATACGACTGGTGCACGACAAGAGATGGCTGGATGTCGGATATCTTGGCACAGCCTGGAAACATGAAATAATAAACATGTTCTAAAACTGCGTCAAAAAGTAGTAATGAGATTATATATGGTGGTTCAAATAAGAATGGAGTGAGTTCAAATCGACAAGACATTGATACGACTGTGTGAAGTACATACGGACCAGTCTTGCTTGGCCTTCTGGTACGGACTGACTATAGATCCACACATATCTGCAATAGCCATTCGTACATACCTGCCCTGGCCATAGCCACACTGAGTTCATCTTTCAGAATTTGTAGAACCTGTTGGACTCCTTCTGCACCCTATTAAGAAGAAAGGAATTTAAAACTGAAACAAGAAATCGAGAATTCAAGGGTTCTGGGAAATATGCAATCCATTGTCGACTTTCCCTTGCAAGTGTCCAGATTCTGAGATCTTTGTAATTCTACCTGTAATTCTACCCGTGCTGTTTACCTTCTCTGAGAGAGATAGAGACAGAGAAAGAGAGACAAGGACAGCGCTAAGGCCTTTAGCAGGTCCACCCAAGTCCGGACACCTCCGTCCACGCCTGATACACATACCGTTTATAGTAACTACTGACTACTGACTAACGGTGACCACTACTTACGTTGTGTGCCAGCCCCCAGAGTACGGGCCTGCCGATGAACACACACCTGGCTCCCAGCGCCAAGGCCTTCAGCACGTCCGTCCCAGTCCTGATCCCTCCGTCCAGGTAAACCTCCGCCTTACCGCCAACCGCACGGACGATGTCCGGTAGAACGTCAATCTGGGGGTACCGGAGGAAAATGATGAAAACATGTTTATATCAGAGCTAAATTTCATCCGTCCAATGCAAAGAAATTCACCGAAATTGTATTGTGGTACTGGTTTTGGTCTCTCTCTCTCTTTAATTGAGAAAACACCTCGTTGGTGGTGTAAAGGAATCAACGGGAAGCTTTACTTACTGTGGCGGGTAAACCATCCATTTGCCTCCCGCCGTGGTTAGACACATAGACGGCGTCTACCCCTAACTGGACAGCCGTCTTGGCGTCTTCAACTGTGGCAAACGTTGGTGTCAAATGGGAGAATACTCAACAGCAACAACGTAACAAACAAGGTTGGAAAACAATTCAACAAATTTCCATATATACCAATTGCAAGCCACGTACATGTGTATCTCTGTCTACTTTCACCTTGTAAGAAACCAACAATCTTATACCACTAAAAGGCATCCAAATTTCAGGGCAATAAAAGTGTATTTTCAAAGTCAATTAGTGTAGTAAATTAAATCAATCCTACCCATGACATACTGATATCTGTATGTGAGGCAAAAACACGATGTCATTGACGGAAAACGGTGTTGCTTGTCTTGTATCGAAGTCAGGTTCTAGCTATTTGTAGGGGTACCTAAAAATAAAGACACGCCTCCTGTAGCTTGGTTTGGGGCTATATTAAACGTATAAAGTATGAAATGATGACGAAAATGTGCTAAAAATGCTAATAAAGGTCAATACAGACATTAGACGGATTTTCTCATCCCTGAAAACTCATTGGATGTTTCGACTTACTCTCCAAGCAGAGGTTGGTGGGGAAAATCGTGACGTTCTTTATCATGCGCCCGGTTTTTGTCCGCCCTCCCCACCAGTTGGCGCATGATAAAGAACGTCACGATTTTCCCCACCAACCTCTGCTTGGAGAGTAGTTTCGACTGTCATCCAGGTGTTTCTAGGTATCTGCATGGAGTTTTCTTACCCGAGAGAATGCCCTTCAGGACGACAGGTAGTTCAGTGTTCTTCCTGACCCACTCCACGTCTTCCCACGTCCCGGGCACTTTAACCGTCGCTCTCAGGTGTTCTTCGACCTCGACTGTCCCCACCAAGCCGACGGGATCTCCCGCATAGTAGGCATTAGGATACCTAGCGATAAAATGTGCACAGATCTAGTTGTAAGTCCCAGCATTTTGTATAGGCCGTATGGTGCATTCGAAATGCATGGATGTCACATTTCAGGCCTGATTGAAATGAATTTGCTTTGTTTGTTCGTCTGTATGTATAAATAAATCTGCCGCACAAGTCTCCGAAGGAGGCTATGACAGGGGTTTTACAGGCAATAACTACCTTACGGGAACAGGCGGTAGATTTGGCTTCTCGTGCCGGGAAAAGGAGAAGCTCGGCTGATCGACGGTCAGAACCACCGCGGTGTAACCCGCCCGCTGCGCTCTATCTAACATGTGCCTCGTGAGGCGGCGGTCTTTGAAGAACAGCAGGTAAAACCAGCGGACTCCGCGAGGGGTCGCTTCAGCAACCTCTTCCAGGGAGAGGTTAGCCCAGGAGCTCAGCACCATCCCTGTGTTCATGGCAGCGGCGCCTGAGGAACGACGAAACTCCTATTGAATGCTTTTTTTTACCTCCATGAAAAATGGAGGTATTGTTTTTGGCGTGTCTGTCTGTCTGTATGTATGTATGTCTGTGTGTGTTTCCGCAGCTTTGTGGTCAGCATAGCTTCAGAACGCCTTTATGGATTATGATGATATTTGGTATGTTGGTAAGCCTTAGGAAGACAAAGGTCAAGGTCAAATATGGGCCTCCTGGTGGATGACCTTGGTACTGCAGCAGAACTTCCGGTTTTTGTATCTTTTGTCCTGAACATGCTATGGTCTTGATGTTTTGGTGACAGATTGCTTTTCATGTCAGGAATAAGTGGTGTGAGTTTGGTCCCCCTAGCAGCTTGTTCTGGAACTGCAGGGCACTTTCTGGCGAAATGTTTAAAAGCCAATAAGTCCAGATAGGAACAACATATTTTCATAATTTTTGGTGTGTAAGTAGCTGAGAGAGAGATGTACATGATTAAATGCAAATTATGCAAATGAGGACTTTATTTGCCTAATTAATGAGGAAATTCTATAATTACAGTGTTTTACATTATACTACTTTCATACATGTAATGTATGTAGCCTATGGCAGGCAGAACATCAACAGATACTAATTATGCAAATGATGACATAATTTGCATAATTTATGCAAAAATTCTATGATTTCTTAATTGTGAATAATGGGAATGTCATACTTGGGACATCTGTAAGTTAATCAAAAGTTAACATACATCACGATGCATATATCATGTTAATGCGGAGGTAATTTGCATAATTAAAGAGGAAATTTACATTTACATATCAAGCCCATATTTCATGGAGGTATGAAATCTCGGAATTCTTGTTTTTCAATGACAATTGCAATGAACTTTGTTGCATATTCACGTCCTACACGGGCCAAATGCACCAAGTTAGATAACTAAGGTACGGGGTTAGGAGGAACATGTGCTACATTACTGTGCTACGTCTATTACAGTACAAGACACAGTAATGGACAGCTCTAGACATGCATAGACCATCCATTTACTCCTAACCGGCTCATGCTGGGTCACCTTAAGGCTTGACCTCCCTATCAATCATATGTCAAAATCACATCCCACCCGCCACGCAACCAAATAAATTATTCAAACAGACACACGACCCACAGCTCGGCCACCTAAAACACTACTTCCGTACCCATATAAAGGTGATTGTCTATTTCTGTGCCTGTTTGTAATTGGTGTAGAAGCCCTGGAAGATTACTCACATCCAATAAACTAAATCTGAGAATAATAACCTTAAACGTAACAATGTAAAGACCATTCGAAAGAAAATGACGTCACAAACCCTTGGCGGTTGCCAACTCCGCGTCAGGATGAGCCAATCGCTGCATGGCTGTTGGCGCAATGGCTATCGGGAAATCTAACCTCGTACCCAGAACGGTTACTGTGGTGTCCCGGATGGACACGTCACGAAGGTTACAAGGGATGAGACGGTATCTGAAAAAAAGTTCTTTTATACATCTTTAGGCCAAACTGACTTTCTTTTATGGATGACATCCCCTGGAGACCCAGAATCTACTACGAGAGTTCGACTAAAAATTTCTACAAAAAAGCTACTAAACCCCAGGAATAAAAGCTGAAAATTTCGTTTATAAAATTACATCATCATGCCCAAAGGAAAAGCAATGGCATTTATATGTAGCAGGTGCATCTCAACTAGATATACATACGTACCAAAGACATTAATATACATGTATATGATGTGTATAACTTCCTTTTGATTTTCTTTGCACTGTGTTCTTGCCAGCGGTCTGATCAATTAAGTTTAAACCTTCTTAATCTTTATTTTTATTTGTTTCAACATGCAAATATACAATACATAGTGGTGACGCACTCAAGCTACATGCTTATATTCACGTCAAACCTTCTTAATCTGATTCATGTTGTCATCTTTGACTTTGAATGTAAACGGTTGAATGATATTAATTCTGCCTCAAACCATGGCCCAAAGTAAGATTTTAATCACAATTTGGTTAAAACAAATCAACGCAATATGATCTATATTAATTGACAATAAATCAGCCACGTGTGCTTAGCTCGTCCACATTACTCGTACAAAACAAGTATTTGCAAGAGTATTTGCTGACTGCCGTCAATTGTTAACCTGTACATGTGTTACACAATCTCCCGATGCCCGTGGCTGTGGTTACGTTAAGAATGCATTGTATTGTTTCTATCGGACTCCCACAGTGTCGGAAGTACTTTTATTCACAAATTCATAATCGTCTCCGCCTACCGTTTGAAAGCGTCCAAATTGTCCTGATATGTCTGTCCTGCGTCCCTCCTTCTGCTGAAGAAATGCCAGGCGAAGTCAGAAAGTTTTTTGCGTGCTTCTTTCTCAAAGTCCAAGACACGTGTTAGCTCAGAACGCAGCCCTTCCGCCATCTTATATTTTTTTGTTAAGGATACAGCAGACTGAGCAAGTCTAAACTCAACAGGGGTTTGTGGCAGGTTGTGCCGGTGGTGTTTCTTCTCTCTTGTACGGTGCCCTCTATTTGGATGACCCCGAAAGTCAACAATAGGTTACCCATTGCATATTGCTGGACAACGTCAACAAGAGTTCCGCGATCTCATACCTTCGCCAAGTGATGTTAACCCTTGCGGTTGACGAATTATACAATTTAATCATCGATTTTGTAAATAAGAGCCTCATTTGCATGGATTATATCAGTTGATCATATTCAATCTCCACCCAATGACAGCCTTACTTTAATAAAAAGGCTATTATAGCACTTCTTCATAAATTATGCAAATGAGGTCATGATTTATAAATTATGCTTATTGATGTTCAGCTTCACTTAACTTCCAAATGTGGCAAGTATGAAATTCCCAACAGTTACAACCATGAAATTATAAAAATTTGCCATTAATTATGCAAATTAGGCCCTCATTTACATAATCTATATCCTCAGATGTTTTATCTCGTTCTCAAGTAGATGTCACAAGTGTTTTATAGTTCTATTATCGAACAAAGCAGATTTATAGAATGTCCTCATTAATTATGCAAATTAGCTCCTGATTTGCATAATTGTCATATGATTATGACAAGCATCACTTCAACTACCTACATACCAAAAATCACGACAATCCGTCAACCGGTTCTTGAGTTATCATCCTTCAAAAATTTTTCATCAAATGCTGCTGCAGTTCCAGAACAAGCAGCTAGGGGACCCAAAGTCATGTCACTTCTTCCCTACCCCAAGAGCTATCTACCAACCAAAATTCGTGACCCTAGCATGTCCAGATCACGAGATATCAACACCGGAAGTTCTGCTGCAGTACCTAGGAAAGCCGCCAGGGGGCCCAAAATCTAATCATTTCTAGGTCTCATGAAGACCTACCCACCTACCAAGTTTCATTCCAATCCACTCACTCCTTCTTGAGTTATCTTGCTAAACCACACACACACACACACACACACAAGACAAACACACACACAGACAAACGCTACTGAAAACATAACCTTCTTGGCGAAGGTAATAATGGCTTGCCCTACGGTTAGGGCATGCCCTACGGTTAGGCCATGTAACCTATCTATCTACTAGTAGAAGGAGTTTGGCTAGTTTTTTCAGAAAATGTCACTGTTGTAAGAAACAGAGGCGAGCACGGAGCAGTAGAAACAGATACCCCCTGGTCCCGGCCCGGGGTTCGAACTTACGACCTCCCGAACACCGGGGTTCGAAGCTACGACCTCCCGAGCACCAGCTTTAAAATCCGACGCTCTAACCACTCGGCCGAAAAGGTCTAGACACATCGGTCGGGCCAATTGGTAGCACCTATAAACCCCCACTGTTACACTGTGTGACCCGGAAGTACAACATGACCGGCGACCTTAAACATCAACTCCCGGGGCAGGAGCTATCAGGAAGCCCGCCGCACGTAGTCGCGAAGCCGCCCGGTTCAAGGTATTAAACTCCGAGTCAGGGTCCTGTCAAGTCAAGACAACGATGGACAGGCCTCCCCGGGCTCCCCTCCCCACCCTCGTAGACATAGAGAAGTCTGCGCGCGAGAAGTTGTCGGAGTTTGCCTGGGGGTACTACAGTCATCCTGAGGACGGACAAACGTACCGGGATAATATTGAGGCCTTCAAGCGGTAAGCCGAGGGTTCGCTGTGCAGGAGTTCGCTGTGCAGTAGTTCGCTGTGCAGGAGTTCGCTGTGCAGGAGTTCGCTGTGCAGGGGTTCGCTGTGCAGGAGTTCCCTGTGCAGGAGTTACCTGTGCAGGAGTTCGCTGTGCAGGAGTTCGCTGTGCAGGAGTTCGCTGTGCAGGAGTTCGCTGTGCAGGAGTTCGCTGTGCAGGAGTTCGCTGTGCAGGAGTTACCTGTGCAGGAGTTACCTGTGCAGGAGTTACCTGTGCAGGAGTTCGCTGTGCAGGGGTTCGCTGTGCAGGAGTTCGCTGTGCAGGAGTTCGCTGTGCAGGAGTTCCCTGTGCAGGAGTTCCCTGTGCAGGAGTTCGCTGTGCAGGAGTTCGCTGTGCAGGAGTTCGCTGTGCAGGAGTTACCTGTGCAGGAGTTACCTGTGCAGGAGTTACCTGTGCAGGAGTTCGCTGTGCAGGAGTTCGCTGTGCAGGAGTTCGCTGTGCAGGAGTTCGCTGTGCAGGAGTTCGCTGTGCAGGAGTTCGCTGTGCAGGAGTTCGCTGTGCAGGAGTTCGCTGTGCAGGAGTTCGCTGTCTCGGTTGGGTTAAGGCGGCCTAGGCTGATATTTATGTTCGACTTCGGGCGTGTGTCTGCACGATTGCCACAAACATGTTTCGAACCCGAATCATGTTCCACCATGTTCGATATGACGTCATTCGAATAGAACGCGTGTTCGAATTCGGGGTTACCGGCGGTCATTTGTATGTTTCCCCTGTAAACCCGCGTTGTTACGCATTTTATTCACGGAGTATGACGTAAACGGCTTTACGCGCAGCTGAAAACAACATAATTCATCCTTAGAGTAATCCATGTTTACGTATTATCACTTTTTTATCAAAATTGTCCGAGGCTATTTTGCATATAAGTCGAAAATTTTTTAACTGTGGCGATTTTTTAACGAAAAATGACAGAAAAATAGCTGTTTCTGTCGTTTTTGGCCCCCCCAAAAAAAACAATTTAACTGTCATTTAAAACAAAATAGCCTCGGACAAAAATAATAAATAGGGGGTTGGCTTTCTACTTGTAAAATATCATGATGAAAGGTGTTGTTACCGCTTGCGCGTAAAGCCATGAAGTAAACAGCTTTTTTTAACCAAAATGTTGATTTTTAACCCAAAAATTCAGAAGTAGTAAAAACAAAATAACCTTTATTCAATGTGTTTCAAGTACTACTAGAACTGTGTGAAGTTAAGTTGTGGTGCGACTAAGCTATCAAAAGTTACAGCCATATGTATGAAATACTAATCATAGTTGGCCATAGGCTGCCTTAACCCAACCGAGGTGCAGGAGTTCGCTGTGCAGTTCACTGGTTCATGATTAGAATCAGGTGGGAGGGTCCAGAGTCACAGTCAGGGTCACGTAAAAGGCTGAGGACGTAGGATTCCGGGGAGGGACCAGTTAATATGCAGAAAGGGCACTTTGTACGATTTATTAGTGGACATATTTTTCAAATAATCGTTTTTGTCCTGTGCAAATTTTGCTAAAAAGGCCCTGTAAGTAAGAAGGACAGCAGAATATACACAAAATGTGTGACATTTGGTATGATTTGCCCTAGGCTTGTTATTGACCCCTGAGTACTTTTACCGTACTTCTTCACCGGATGGACTGACCCACTTGGACAGGGGGTGAAATCCAGGTGTTAATATTTTGGGTGTGTCTCTTTAAAATGCACCAGTTGACTTTCCACTTCTTGTATCCAAAGAAACATGACAGCAGCGGATTTGGCAGGTTGACATAAAGTCAGTTTGTCAGAGACTTGAGGTTTGGAATAAGGGAAATGTGTTTTAAGTTAAAGTGCTTGTTTTCGTGGTTTCACCAAGTGTCTGGTGAGGCATCCAGAGGAGCACCGCGTGACGAGGATGAACTGAACTCAGCATAGATTCTTTTCCAAGTTTATTTAGTGGTCCCACTTTAGTGAGCACATTTTCGACATTATTCAGGTATGAACTGTGTTGTGTGGCATGCTTACATAGCTTCATCATTTCAAGCATTTGAAACTAGAAAGGCCGACATTTGCTCGGGAGCAAATGCAGCAGATGGCTTCACCACATCCCCGTACCAAAAATAGACCTATCCCCTTCCCGCAGAAATGGATTGTTCCTAAATGAACCCAAAATGTAAAGTGTTCCAATAGTCTACATCCCCATGCAGCAATGGAATCTTCCAACGCCTTCTGCTGTTGGAACATGTCTCCCAGTAGAACCCAAGTGTTATATTTAGAACTGCCAGTTGGGGATTTGCACTGGGTAACAAGTGCTGAGAAAAAAAAGACTTTTGTATACTTGCAGGCTCTGTGTGTCAGAGATTCTGTTCGTCTGAGACCCAAATTTTTGTTTATTTATTTATTTGTTGGTGTCGTTCCACCCCGCTCAGATACCGCCTCATCCCACGGAACCTCCGTGACGTGTCCATCCGGGACACCTCTGTAACGGTACTAGGGACCCGGATGGATATCCCAGTAGCCATTGCACCAACTGCCGTGCACCGATTGGCTCATCCTGACGCGGAATTGGCAACCGCCAAAGGTAGGTTATAAGCATAAACTTATTTGTGACGTTATTTGATCTTGAGAAAACTCTAGTAGTTTACATGTCAATATGTTCAAAACTCAAAACTCGTACCATCATCTTATCATTCAGTACGAAATCACTAGCTCGTCTTCTGCAGTGTTTATTTTCATTAGCATGGTTACTAAAACCTATTTTAGCCCCCGACTCCTACATCCTATTTGCGGAGAGGATGGTAGACTCGGCAGCTAAAATAGGTTTTGTAACAAGGCTTCGTTTTTATACGTTCTGAATTCTTTTGATTCCATGGTGAAAATTAGTTGACGTTATAAACTGTTGTTTCCACCACTTTCCACCAGTTATCCTTTTCGTATCCGAATACACAATTTTGTGCAGGAAAAGTGACAACGTTAAGTGATGCATTGATTATAATTATTAGCTCAAGACACAAGATGTATTTATTGCACTATCATAATGAATCGCAGACAACTTACAAATTGTTAATTGTTAAGTTACAAACCGTTAAAACATTACAAGGAGGTTTTAAAAAAACTTACTAGTACTAGAATTCCATAAGCTGCCATATAAAAATGGTGTTCATTCCAAATATCAAAAGAATTATGGTATAACGGTTTGAAATAAAAATTATGTTTATAGATCAATAGTTGTTTCAAGCCATCACAATAATTTTCAGTGGATTTTGGCCCCCATAAGGGAGGATATACAACGTATAGAGAGACGTCACTCACTCGCGGGCTAACTCTCCTGACGAACTCTTCACCCTATTTTTCTACGAAGGCTGCTATCCACAACTCCTTTGGAAGACCTGGTGGACACTGATATTTTCTCGATTATGACGGACTAAAAACGTTGGTTTCTCTTCAGGCGCGGCCGCCATGAACACAGGGATGGTGCTGGGTTCCTGGGCTAACCACTCCCTAGAGGAGGTGGCTGAAGCGACCCCTCCCGGGATCCGCTGGTTTTACATGCTGTTCTACAAAGACCGTGGTCGCATGAAGCGCCTGCTGTCTCGGGCAGAACGCGCGGGATACACCGCCATATTCCTCACAGTGGACCAGCCTTTGCTCCCGTTTCAAATTGATCTAAGGCCTGTGACTTTTCCTGTCCCTATTAGGTAATATACGTTTCATTTATTGAAAAAAAGAATTACAACAGAATGTGTTTTCAAAGATGTCTTAAGCTATAGCTCATACATCAATGCCATACTAGTAAGGCTCACACTGTTGCATGAGATTTTGCTTTTACTTTTTAGTCGACAATTAAAGGGATTGTGGTACATTCGTCGCAAGACCGTCGTGTACGGTCGCAGACTGAAGGGACTATTGGGATGACTTAAACGACAAGTTGGCACATGCTGGCCTTTTGCGGCGTTTATGAGACGGCACTGTACCGAATACTTGAGTTCCGAGGAGTGTCGGCAGCCTGGGTGCCGCCCTCCGTATAGTTACCGCCAGCTCCCTATTGTCGCTAAGTACCACTACGGGTCTACGGGGTCGGCACCTAGGCCTGAGCCTTGGTGGAGGTGATTTTTTTAGAGCAGGCGAAAATCAATGCACGCGCGGATGTCATCCATAAAATTAAATCCGCGCGGCCCAAGTTGCATAGGATAGCAACAGTTCTCCATAACAGAGCTACACTATATAACTTTTCTTGTCTTTTTTGTTTTACTAGGCTTCCTAACGTTTTAGACGAAGAACCGCCCCATGCTCCAGGTAGTGCGGAGCACCAGGAGAGTATGAGAGCTGCATTGAAGCAACCGGCGACGTGGGACGACGTGCAGTGGATCAGAGACAACACCTGCCTGCCTGTTGTCCTGAAGGGCATTCTGTCAGGTAGTAGGAGACAGCACTTTGTGCGCAATTAAAGATATAACGGCGTAGTCACTTGATAACGCAATTTAGACTGCTTTACAGACTTTAAAAAAGCCTGCAGCTACCACTGAAAAAATTCAAATCCCAACACAAATGTGATAAATCACAATAAAGAAAGATATCGACTGTAATTAGAGGCCTTCACGGTTGGTTACTCTTAAATGTCTTTTTTTTCCCTCTAAGGCCATGTTGGTTTGATTATATGAATGACATCTTCTGGGAACCCCGAAACTTATACTAGCGTGGGTATAAAAAACTTGCCGTCCTTTATGTTATAAAATCTCCGTGGTCATGGAGGTTGATAAATGACTTAACACATGTATGGTGAAGACATGGCTGGAGGTATTGTTTTTGGTATGTCTATGTGCTTTCACACGTTTGTTATTGTACGAAGTTTTGCTGTCCCATATGTGATGGGTGCTTTGTAACTGTCATGCAGTCGAGGACGCCAAGATGGCCGTGGCGTGCGGAGCGAACGGGATCTGTGTGTCTAACCATGGCGGGAGGGAACTGGACGGCGTGCCGGCAACTGTACGTGAGGAAAAACCTTATGTAACATTAGGCTGTTACAAAGTCAGTTCTCTGTTCATTTCTTTACAAAGTGAGTTGAAACAAGCCTAGTCTAATACAAGTACGTGCCATTTAGGAAGTGTAGGTGCCAAAATATGACGCCCTACGAGTGTTTAGAAGTTGGAAACACAGCTGTCAGCCATGTTTGTTTACATTGTGGTGTTTTGTGGTGGTGCTACAAATTGAATGTGCATTGTGTGTGCTGTTTTTTTTGTGCTAAGCACAAGTGTTAGAAATGTGGGATAAATATGTTCTTACCTACAGCTTTCGACCAGTCACTCTGGTCTTCTTCGATAGACTGACCCAGTGAGACGTCGTTTACAGATACCTTTGGCCCAGTGTTGACGTCACACTTCCGAGAAGCCACGTGTCAAGTCTCACTGCGTCTATCTATTGAAGAAGACCACAGTGATTGGTCGAGAGCTTTTAATAGGTGAGAACAATTCTTTGTGTTGGAAGAAAAGTTCTAACTTGAAACATTTCTACAGATTGACGTCCTACCGGACATCGTCCGTGCGGTTGGCGGTAAGGCGGAGGTTTACCTGGACGGAGGTGTCCGGACTGGGACGGACGTGCTGAAGGCCTTGGCGCTGGGAGCCAGGTGTGTGTTCATCGGCAGGCCCGCACTCTGGGGGCTGGCACACAACGTAAGTAGTGGTCAGCGTTAGTCAGTAGTTCCTATAAACGGCATATGTATCAGGTGTGGACGGAGGTGTCCGGACTGGGACGGACGTGCTGAAGGCCTTGGCGCTGGGAGCCAGGTGTGTGTTCATCGGCAGACCCGCACTCTGGGGACTGGCACACAACGTAAGAAGTGGTCACCGTCTATAATTACTATAAACGGTATTTGTATCGGGTGTGTGTATCAGGCCTAATACAGTTTTAACGGTCCTATCTGTCTTATTTATTTTAGTATTGCTTTGGGTGGCTGACATCCTCTCTCTCTCCGTAGTTACCGCCAACTTTCTCTCTCCGTAGTAGTAATGGAGAGAGCCGACGGTGACTATGAAAGATGGCACCCAGGATAGCTGAGTTTGTGTATCTGTTGTTCTACACAGACCATACTACTAGTAACAGCACGTGGGTAGGGGAAGTCTCAAAATCGGGGGCCGATACGTTGATGTTGACATGTGGAAATTCAGAAAGCCAATGGTTACATACTTCCATCTTCTATTTCTTGCTTCGGTGTTAATTGATATAATAGAATCCTTTTTTTCTCTCATTAGGGTGCAGAAGGAGTCCAACAGGTTCTACAGATTCTGAGAGATGAACTCAGTGTGGCCATGGCCAGGGCAGGTATGTATGGATAGTCAGTCCTTATTACATGGCTAGGGCAGGTGTGTATATGCTTGTCTACAGAGACCAGGCTGTCAGTACGTATACAAGTATAATTAACAAGTATAACAGCCGGACTCACAAAACCTGATGTAATGTCATTGGTCATCGTCGACAACGACGGACCAACAACAACATCTGGTGAACTTGTACGATTCGAATAGTCGTATCACATGTCTTTTCGACTTGAACGCATTCATTTTCAGTATATCTTAACTTGAATTGATCTCATAACCACTTTTTGACACTGTCTTAAAACATACGTCGATGAAGATTAGATATCCAGGTAATAAGATACGCCAAAAAGCACTTGGTTTGGTTTGGTTTATTTAGATCCACAATTAGCTTAACAATTCATATTGCAGCTATTCTTCCTGTGGTCAATTAACATATACACCTGACACACATAAAATAACTTACTCATTGACAAGCAACTGGATATGACCGTTTCCAAAATAATTTCCAGTTGCTTGAGTAACTGATTTTTGGCGTGTTTTAGAACATGTTTATTATTTTATGTTTCCAGGCTGTGCCAAGATATCCGACATCCAGCCATCTCTTGTTGTGCACCAGTCGTATTACGGCATACCAACCCGCAGGGCAGTACCGATGTCTAAATACTGAGCCACAAGACCAAATCACACACGAACGATAACGATTGTATTGCAAAGCGGATCAGAATCGCTGGAGGACTCTTCATACCCTCACCCGCAGGACCAAGACTAAAGCCCCTGTCACACATTGACGAATTTTGCCTCCCGAACTCTTGCCGAACGTTCCCCAACCATGGTTAGGAGAAGATCGGTTCAAAGTCGGCCTGTGTTCAGCGACTTCGGCTACTATTCCGGTGCACCAGCCGAATGTTTCAAATGTTAAAAAATCAATTAGGAGTTGGTCGAGGGGTTGGGCCATGGTTGGTTGGTATTCGTCTGGCCAGCAGAACATCAGTCAACCTTTGGTAGTCAGAGCATTTTGGTAGTCAGAGCATTACGTGTTCGGAGCATTTTGGGGGTCAAATTTCACTCAAATTTCATTCGAATCGTATAGAAAAGTAGGCGTGCCCCAAATCTGGCCAGACTGCTCCCGAACGTCAGCAGAACCTGGTCTCCTGGTGTTCGGGAGCACATTCGGGGTAGGGTCGTGAATATTTGACAGGGGTTTAACCTCCTTGGCATGACATCAGGACAGTTACCACCAGCCGTTTTGCGCAGGTGTACACGTTACGTACATGACACGTTGCAATTATCTTCTCGTTGGAAGACCACTGACCTAGAAAAATCAATCTCCTGTGGTTCAGTCCAGAATGTAGACTTGTTAACGTCTTTTCTTGTCGAATCATGCTGAGGGAACACGCAGAGTGCCTTACGGTAAACATCTTGTAGCCCTGCCTTGTTTGGCATTACGTGTGCGCTAATGTATCCCCCCTGCCGCCTTTTTACATGTGCACAGTCTATCTTTAGTTATCTCTTACTTCTGCTGATGTCTTGAATTTCATTAACCCGAATAGAGTCTGTATCCAGGCGAAATGAAAACTAGCCTTCCTCTATATAACTATGAAGTTTAAGGGTTTTATTGCAAAATGGATCAGGATCGCTAGAGATCTCTTCCCACCTTCACCCTCAAGCTTATCCTCCTTGGACATCAGGTCAGTTATCTTCAGTCGTTTTGCGCAGGTGTACACGTTAGGTACATGGCACGTTGCAATTATGTTCTCGTTGGAAGACCACTGACCTAGAAAAATCAATCTCCTGTGGTTCAGTCCAGAATGGAGACTTCTTAACGTCTTTTCTTGTCGAATCATGCTGAGGGAACACACACAGTGCCTTACGGTAAACATCTTGTAGCCCTGCCTTGTTTGGCATTACGTGTGCGCTAATGTAGCCCCCTGCCGTTTTTTACACGTGCACAGTCTATCTTTAGTTATCTCTTACTTCTGCTGATGTCTTGAATTTCCTTAACCCCGAATAAAGCCTATATCCAGGCGAAATGAAAACTAGCCTTCCTCTTCAACTATGAAGTCTAAGGATTGTATTGCAAAGTGGATCAGGATCGCTAGAGATCTCTTCCTACCCTCACTCGGAGTATCAAGCTTATCCTCCTTGGACATCAGGACAGTTACCTCCAGCCGTTTTGCGCAGGTGTACACGTTAAGTACATGACACGTTGCAATTGGCGTCACCCCGGAAGACCTCTGACTTGGCATAATCAACCTGTCGTGACTCAGTCCAGAATGAAGACTTGTTAACGTCTTTTCTTGTCGAATCATGCTGAGGGAACACGGAGAGTGCCTTACGGTAAACATCCTGTAGCCCTGCCTTGTTTGGCATTACGTGTGCGCTAATGTAGCCCCCCTGCGGCCTTTTTACACGTGCACAGTCTATCTCTTACTTCCGCTGATGTCTTGAATTTCCTTAACCCCGAATAGAGTATATATTCAGGCGAAATGAAAACTAGCCTTCCTCTATAACTATGAAGTTTAAGGGTTTTGTTGCAAAGTGGATCAGGATCGCTAGAGATCTCTTCGTACCCTCACTCGGAGTATCAAGGTTATCCTCCTTGGACATCAGGGCAGTTACCTCCAGCCGTTTTGCGCAGGTATACACGTTAGGTACGCGGCACGTTGCAATTGACGTCACGTCGGAAGACCACTGACCTGGAACAATCAACCTGTCGTGGCCCAGTCCAGAATGGAGACTTGTTAACGTCTTTTCTTGTCGAATCATGCTGAGGGAACACGCAGAGCCGTACGGTAAACATCTTGTCGCCCTGCCTTGTTTGGCATTACGTGTGCGCTAATGTATCCCCCCTGCCGTCTTTTTACACGTGCACAGTCTATCTTTAATTATATCTCTTACTAATGCTGATGTTTTGAATTTCATTAACCCGAATAGAGTATATATCCAGGCGAAATGAAAACTACCCTTCCTCTATAATTATGAAATTTAAGGATTGTATTGCAAAGTGGATCAGGATCGCTAGAGATCTCTTCCTACCCTCACTCGGAGTATCAAGCGTATCCTCCTTGGACATCAGGACAGTTATCTTCAGTCGTTTTGGATAGGTTTACACGTGTATGTATATGGTACGTTGCAATTGACGTCACCCCAGAAAAACCACTGACCTGGAACCATCAACCTCTCGTGGCCCAGTCCAGAATGAAGACTTGTTTACGTCCTTTCTTGTCGAATCATGCTGAGGGAACACGCACAGTGCATCTTGTAGCCCTGCCTTGTATGGCATTAAGTGTGTAGCCCCCTGCTGTATTTTTACACGTGCACAGTCTATCTTTAGTTATCTCTTACTTTTGCTGATGCCTTGAACCTCCTCAACCCGAATAAAGTCTGTATCCAGGCGAAATGAAAACTACCCTTCCTCTACAACTATGAAGTTTAAGGATTGTATTGCAAAGTGGATCAGGATCGCTAGAGATCTCTTCCTACCCTCACTCGCAGTATCAAGCTTATCCTCCTTGGACATCAGGACAGCTACCTTCAGCCGTTTTGCGCAGGAGTACACGTGAGGTACATGGCACGTTGTAATTGTCGTCACCTTGGGAGGTCACTGACTTGGAACAATAAACCTCTCGTAGCGTGGTTCAGTCTTTAGTTACTACTCTTAATTCTGCTGATGTCTTGAACCTCCTTGACCCGGATAGAGTATATATACAGGCAAAATAAAAACTACCCTTCCTCTACAACTATGAAGTATTGCAAAATGGATCAGAGTCGCTAGACATCTCTTCCTACCCTCACTCGGAGTATCAAGTTTATCCTCCTTGGACATCAGGACAGTTACCTTCAGTCGTTTTGGGCAGGTGTACACGTTAGGTACATGGCACATTGCAATTGACGTCAAGTCGGATACTACTGCCCTGGAAAATCAACCTCCTGTGGTTCAGTCCAGAATGGAGACTTGTTAACGTCTTTTTTTGTCGAGTCATGCTGAGGGAACACGCAGAGAGCCGTACGGTAAACATCCTGTAGCCCTGCCTTGTTTGGCATTACGTGTGCGCTAATGTAGCCCCCTGCCGCCTTTTTACACGTGCACAGTCTATCTTTAGTTATCTCTTACTTCTGCTGATGTCTTGAATTTCATTAACCCGAATAGAGTCTGTATCCAGGCGAAATGAAAACTAGCCTTCCTCTATATAACTATGAAGTTTAAGGGTTTTATTGCAAAATGGATCAGGATCGCTAGAGATCTCTTCGTACCCTCACTCGGAGTATCAAGCTTATCCTCCTTGGACATCAGGGCAGTTACCTCCAGCCGTTTTGCGCAGGTATACACGTTAGGTACGCGGCACGTTGCAATTGACGTCACGTCGGAAGACCACTGACCTGGAACAATCAACCTGTCGTGGCCCAGTCCAGAATGGAGACTTGTTAACGTCTTTTCTTGTCGAATCATGCTGAGGGAACACGCAGAGTGCCTTACGGTAAACATCCTGTAACCCTGCCTTGTTTGGCATTACGTGTGCGCTAATGTAGCCCCCCTGCCGCCATTTTACACGTGCATCTTTAGTTATCTCTTACTTATGCTGATGCCTTGAACCTCCTTAACCCGAATAAAGTCTGTATCCAGGCGAAATGAAAACTAGCCTTCCTCTACAACTATGAAGTTTAAGGATTGTATTGCAAAGTGGATCAGGATCGCTGGAGATCTCTTCGTACCCTCACTCGGAGCATCAAGTTTATCCTCCTTGGACATCAGGACAGTTACCTTCAGTCGTTTTGGGCAGGTGTACACGTTAGGTACATGGCACATTGCAATTGACGTCAAGTCGGATACTACTGCCCTGGAAAATCAACCTCTCGTGGCCCAGTCCAGAATGAAGACTTATTTACGTCTTTTCTTGTCGAATCATGCTGAGGGAACACGCAGAGTGCCTTACGGTAAACATCCTGTAGCCCTGCCTTGTTTGGCATTACGTGTGCGCTAATGTAGCCCCCCTGCCGCCTTTTTACACGTGCATAGTCTATCTTTAGTTACCTCCGGGGAAGGAGATATCCTTCCGCGAGGAGGTTTTACTATTGTTCGAAACATTTCTGTCAGCAGCTGTTTCTCGCGATCGGCTGGACGGATTGGTCTGTTGTTCGGTACACGTATTGCTGTTGGGCTGCAGATGATGCAGAACGTTTTTGTTTAATTGCATATGTGTTTATGGGCGTCGAAATAAAAGGTTTTTAAGTGCTCCGGACACCCCCGTTATGCTGAAAATGGAATTTACCATGTTGTTAAGGAATGGGGAGGTTTCAGTTTTGGGTCTTACCATTTAAAAGGGGTCAAACAGAGGGGTGTCTGGTTCCGATAAAAACGTTGGGTGACGGCGCAGCAATGACGGCGCGGGATGACGGCGGGGCTAATGGCGCGGGTGACGCTGAACGCTGGGTGCAAGCCGAGTCAGCGCTAGATCTTCGTGTCGCGGCATTTATTTCCAGAAATACGGCGATACACGTCAATTTATTTCAAGTACGGCGCGTAGCTAGCATGGCAGCAGCCAGCAGAAGCGGTGGGCGGGCGTATGCAAATCTTGCATGACGTATCCGCGTTACGCGTCTCTGATTGTTCGCTTCAGCTGAGATCGCCGGGCGGCAACATGAAGGGCGCGGGGACGCGATTTTTCTGTTTGAAAATATGCACTAAACGCTGTTTTCCAGGACTGCATAGCCACATCTAGTGAAAAAGTGCACAATTAATATAAATTTGGGGGGAAATATTTGTTTCTTTGTCGATTTATGGTGTCGATTTAGGAACCCGGAAGTGCAGCCGAGACCAGCGCGCAGCGTAGACCAGCGTGGCAGTTTGACGTGTACGATCAAAACATAAACAAAACTCCCGCTGAA